GGGGGGGGGGGGGGGGGGGGGGGCTTCTGGAGAGGAAGCGGCCGGCGCCTCCGATCCGAAGCGGGACGTGCTGGCGGGGCAGCCGGGAAGAGGGAAGAAGAAGAGCCGCGGCGGGCTCGCCTGCCTTCTTGGGGTGCAGCCGCCATGGAGGTTCCTAGCTGGGGAAAAGGGAGAGGAATCGTGCTGCGGGCGAGGTCCCCGGCTCTCTCTCCCCCGACTCTCCACCCCGCTTCCCGATCGCCTGCCTGCCTGCCTAAGGCTCGGCCTCCGGCCGGGAAGGGAGACAACGGGCAGGGGTTTGGGCCGCCCCCCCCCCCCCCCCCGGGAGGAAGCGGCTCGGCCAGGGAGAGAAGGGAGGGCGAGCGAGCGGGACAACGCAGCCCGTCGCAACGCTCCGGAGTTTGTGGGAAGCGGACCTGTTGCATTTCCTTTCCCGGCGCCTGCTCGGCTCCTTCTTCGCAAGTCGGCCGCCTGCCTGCCTTCGGGAGCCGAAGGAGTCGAAGTGGGGACCCCCCCCCCAATAAGACATCGAAACGGGAGGGGGGTGGAATAAATGGGGGCGGCTTTCCGAGGGGGGGGGGAGCAGCCCGCCTGCTGCACCCTCCTCCCTGGTTAAACGCCCCCCCCACCCCGTCACTCACACTCACACACACCCGTTCCGCCACGAGTCCCGGGGGCGGTTTCGAGGGGGGCCGCCGAATGAATGGGGGCGGCGGAGTGGATCTGAGGGGGTGGATCGCGCGCGGGAGCGAGCGAGCGTGGCATTTGGGAAAAGAAAAAGGCCTCGGATCGAGGCTCTCTTTTCTCCTCCCCCCCCCCCAACAACTCTCTCCCCCCCTCCCCCTCCATGCCGCCAATCACCGGGGGGAGGGACGGTACTTTCCTTCTGTCAACTTCTGGCACTTGGAAGGAGAAGGAAATAAATCCAGATTTGTGTGTGTGTGTGTATGTGGTTGTGGTGTGTGTATAGGGGCGGGGGGGGAAGAGAGAGTTGCTGATTTCAAAGAGGGTTGCACGGAGACGAAGCGCCACGTTGCTGCTGCTCCGCGCAACGGGTTGAAGCGTCGAGCGTGAAACCGGGGACGGCGGGCGTCGTAATCCGGAGGCAGGATCAACTCGCTTCCGAGTGAATCTAGCCGAGTTTAGGAGGGAGGGGGCTCTCTCTCTCTCTCTGTGCCCCCCCTCCCGCCAGCTCTCCCCTCTATACGAAACGCGGAAGCGCTGCAAAGCTTGGCAACTAGGGGGGTCCGGGCCAGGAGGGTGCAGGAGAACCCCACGGTGGGATCGGTATTTTTTTTTTATCCCCCAGCCCCCCCCTTTAACCCCCCCCCCCGCCTCCAATCTCGCGGGCCGTTCTCCAGCGTCGTCGGAATGGCCTGTGTCCCGCGAGTGGCGGGGGGGAGGAAGAGAGGAGGCGGAGAGCGGAGGAAAAAAAAGTTGCAAAGCTTTTCCGAAGTGGAAATCGGGCTCTTTCCCCAAAAAAAAAAAAAAAAAAAAAAACACCCAACAACAAAACACACACACAAAAAGCAACTTTTGTTTCCGACCGACAACGCGACGTTTAAGGTGGGCCGTGGAGGGAGGTGTGAAAAAAAATCTTCTCTCTCTCTCCACTTCCCCCCCCCGCCCCAAAATCCGAAGCAGGGACGTAGATCTAGATTGAAGAGGGGGAGAGGAGGGGGGGTGGCGAAGGGGGCGCGAACCGTCGAGATTTATGCTCACTTTTTAAGCAAAGTTGGCGGCGACCTTAAGTCTCTAACTTCGGTCTTGCCCGGGGGGGGGGTGCTGGTTGGTGGGTGGGGGAAGAGAGGGTGGCGGCGGGTTAAACTCTAACCTTAAACCCAGGACTTTAACCCTCTTAAGAAAAGAAATCTGGGGTTGGGGGGGGGGGGGGGTGGGGGTTTGCAAAACCCCCCTTTCCTTCCAGCCCCAACCCCCCCCCCCCCCCCGCCCCCCTTCCCCCCTCGGTTGACCCCCCCCCCCCCCAGCCCGGGGGGGGGTAACGGGGAGTTGCTCTCAATCCGGGGGAGAGGAGTTTTATTTTATTTTTTTCCTCCCCCCCCCCACTCTTCCTCCTCCTGCGGGGTTGGAACGGGGTGGCGCTTACCCTGGGATTCTTGCGGAGGGGCGCTTTGCAAAACGGCTCTTGGAGGAACTTCCGCGGCGGACGAGTTTTTTTTTTTTTCCTTTTCTTCCCCCCCCCCCTTTTTTTTTTTTTTAAATAAATAAATAGGGTCTCGGTGGACTTTTGCACCCGGGAAAAGAAGTGGGATGGGGAAGAAGGGCGACCAAAAGCTGCCTTTGCGTGAAGATCCGTTTGTTTGAAAATGGCTTTAAAAGACAAAAAGAATTCGGGTGGGAGTGTAAATAAAGGGGTGTGTGTGTGTGTGTTTTAATTTTTTATTTGCTTTTTGCAAAAGCTCTGGGGAAGCATTGCATAGATTCTTTCTATCTCCCCCCCCTTTTTTTTTAACTCCCCCTCCTTCTCCCCCCCCTCTGGTTTTGTTCAGTGCTTCCACCCCATCCCCCCTTGGCGCCACCTCTCCCCCCCCC